CACTTTCCCAGCTGTTTACTCTGTAGAGTAATGTAGAATAAGACTTAAATTCAACTATTTACTGTTTCACGTACTATAGTAGTATTTTCTTTTAGAGCAGTCTTTAGATAGAATCTGCATACTTTAGGCAATTGGTTTTAATTTCAAAATGATAGAGTTCTGTTTACCAAAGGATGCCAGTACGAGCTGGCAGAGTTCATGCTAGGCAATCAGAGACTGGGGAATTTAGTTCTCCAAATATTACTCTGCTTTCCCTCAGAAACAAAATGTATAGGGGATTCTAATTTAATGAGTCAAGGAATCCTCCCAGGCATATGCTTTTGTTTTTTTTATTTCAGTAAAACTCCCAAAGGCTTTATTTTGTTTTGTTTGTTATGGTTTTGAGGCCACACCTTGCAGTGCAAGAGAATCCCCTAGAAATGAGGTCTAGACATTGGCATTTATTAGGATTTTTAAAACATCTTCTGTGAAACCTAATACAAGAACAGAATTAAGAGCCACTGCTGTATAATTGTTTGTTTTAGAATTAACTTATTTTGGTAAAGGAATGTGATAGTAGGAAATAAAGCATACTTAAAAGACTCAGGGCTAGAGGGGAACTAATCAAAGGTTTTTCATACTTAACCACATAAATGAATCAATACATGGTTTTTTGTACTGGAACTCTGGAGTATACAACTTAATAAAAGTTAATGTTATTTATTTTGTAAAAGCTTAGAAAATCCTTAAACTATATAAAAATACATGTTGTTAAATGATAGTTTCTATATGGAGTTCCAATCTTTAAAATTTTTTTATTATTTTGTTTTAATTCATTACCATGCATTTAAAATATTTGATGAGCTACTTATATTTTAGTAGTAAATATGAGTATGATATGCTACTTAATTATAGCTAATAAAATATTTCCATATTCTTGATTTTGGATTTAGGTGATTTTAAAATAAATTAATATTGTGAGATGTATTCATGTAGACAGATCATTTTTCTTGATGAGAATTCAATTTTATTGAGATGGGTTATGATGTTAGAAACATTCACATTTGACGGGTTGTTATCCTACTGTGGGATAAAACAATGTGAAAATTTATCTTGCTGTGAACAAAAGGGATTGAACTAAGATAACCATGAGACTTTTATCTTGAATGATCTGAGCAGGCATGCACACTTCACATTTGTTTTGTTCTTACAGAAAAATAAGTTTATTAAATTTTGCATAGAGTTTTAAATGACTGCATTAGTCTGGAATGAATATAATAGCTGTTTCCTACAATTATGCTTTAAGCATGTCAGTTAATAAAGCAAAAATACATTTTGGTGTTATGTTGATAGTGTGTTCCTTTATAGATGAATTTTAAGAATTACATCATTTTAGCACTATGAGTAGCAATTTCTTGGTGAACTAAAGAATTCACAGAGATGTTTATGTCAAAGATCCCACAACTACAAACTGCTGGAAGAATTGAAGCTGTAGACAGGGTGTCTCCATTCCCTATTCTTCTTTAGAGTTCCTCTGATTCCATACTTACCTGATTTTTTTTTTACCTGAACTTGGCAAATCTTTAAAAAGAAAATTACTACTGAACAATCTAGATTATTAAGGAGAATAATAAGTCATACAGGCTATCCAACTCATATGTAAGTTTTTAATTTCAGGCAAGTTCTTTAAAATTGTCAGTGAAGTTGTAAGAAAAAAAAATTATGCAATAGGACTGATGACATAGTAAGACAGAGGGCTCAGAACACCGGTAACTGTCAATGAAAGATGGGCCCTGACTCCTGGCATGGCCACACCCCTGTTGCTGGCATTAAAGGCATTAGGTTTGTGACTTCAGACTGATTCTACAGGGCCCAGCGGCTGTGTTATTGCCAGCAGTACTCTCCATGGAGGCATTAATACCATAGCAACTCTTTCATGTGTCCCCTCCTTGTTTGGATAGTGAAGCAAGGTCAAGCTCTATCTTTGGTGTTAACATTGAGATCATTGCGTTAGTCTCACCAGTTTACTGTTTTGTTTTGCTTTGGTTTGTTTTGCTTTTTTATTGTGGACCATGTTTTTGGTCTGTACCAGAGTTTATTAAACATTTTCCCTGTTTGACCACTCTGACTCCAAGAAATTTTTTCACAGCCCTGGAAATGTAGGTATATAAAATGAACTTTTTGCTCTTTTAGTAGTAAACCATAAAGAAAATTTAAAAACAAATTTTCTAAGAGTGATGTGATCCCATATGAGCTTGAGAGCTCTGATTTATTAAGTTAGAACTCCCTGGCACCCTTTATTGTTTCCCAAACCCTGCCAGAAGTGATTCCTAAGCACGGAGCCAGGAGTAAACTCTGAGCACTGCCAGATATGCCCTCACCCCTCCCACCCACACCCCAAAAAAGTTAGAATGTAGACTAGCATAAATAAAAGCATCCAAATCAAACTCAAAATGTGATCCTTAAAGAAGCAATCTTATTCTTCCACCTCCCTCTCATTTGTTTAATAATAGGATAAATGTTGAACTTAAGAAAACCTTAAAATCTGGATATTTGAAGAAACTGAATTGATTTTATTTATTTATTTACATTTTTATTAGTGAAACACCGTGAGGTACAGTTGTGGACATTACAAGTTTTTGTGCTTCGGTTTCAGTTATACAGTGATTGAGTACCCATCCCTCCACCAGTGCCCATTCTACACCACCAATGATCCCAGTATCCCTTCCACCTCCTCATCCCCCCCCCCCATCCCATCCTGCCTCTGTGGCAGGGTATTCTCTTTTGTCTCTCCTTTTGGGTGCTGAGGTTTTCAAAAGAGGCATTGAGTGGCAATCATGTTCGGTCTATAGTCTACTTTCAGCGTGCATCTCCCATCCTGGGAGAATCCTTTCAACACCCTTTACTTGGTGTTCCCTTCTCTGTCTGAGCTGCCTTTTTCCCTAGCATGTGCAGTTGGCCTCAAAGCCATGGAGTGAACATCCGGTACTTATCTCGACTATTCTTGGATGTTAAGGTAAAGGTAAGGTAAAGGCCCTCCCGTTGATCGTCGATTTGCTCGAGCGGGCCCAGTAACGTCTCCATTGGAGACTTTGTTGTTACTGTGTCTGTCATATCGATACTCTCGGTAGCTTGCCGGGCTCTCCGAGAGGGGCGGAGGAATCGAACTCGGGTCGGCCATGTTGGCCGCTTGTAAGGCGAACGCCCTACCCGCTGTGCTATCGCTCCAGCCCATTCTTGGATGTTAGTCCCCCTATTTTGTTACTTTATATTCCCCAGGGGCTGGAGCGATAGCACAGTGGTAGGGCGTTTGCCTTACAAGCGGCCAACATGGCCGACCCGAGTTCGATTCCTCCGCCCCTCTCGGAGAGCCCGGCAAGCTACCGGCAAGCTACTGAGAGTATCTCGCCCTCACGGCAGAGCCTGGCAAGCTACTCGTGACGCATTTGATATGCCAAAACACAGTAACAAGTCTCATGATGGAGACGTTACTGGGCCCGCTCGAGCAAATCGATGAACAACGGGAGGACCGTGACCGTGACATATTCCCCAGATGAATTCAATCTTTCTATGTTTGTCCCTTTCTTTCTGACCCATTTCACTTAGCATGATACTTTCCACGTAGTACCACTTGTATGTAAATTTCATGACTTCATCTTTTCTAATAGTTAAAAAAAACTAAATTTAATTCTAAGCCTTAGTACCTTATGGGAGACTAAGTGCATGCATAACATCAGTGATGGAGAAACTGTGGTATTCTAGGTTTCCTAGTAGTGTGGCCCTATTTTGTGGCAGTGGTTTTGCAGCCAGAGATGTAGCCATATGCAATATAAGTATACATTTGCATTTCTAAGACTAACATAGTTGTTCTTTGAATCATTCCCCAATACTCTCTGCAGTGTAAGTATGCCTCAAGGGTCTACTTTCTAAGCATGTATTAGGCTTCATTAACAGTAATGAAAAAAATTCTTAATACTCAGATTCTGAATGCTCGACTGTGTTCTGCATCCTAAACTAAAGCAGCTTACCAAAATCATGACAAACAAAATTATGGTACTAATGTTGACTTTCAAAGTATCTGAAAAGAACATCTTAGTGTAGATATTATGCTTATAAAATGTAGATCATAGCTGTCAGATTGGTTTGCATTGAGTCAGAATTTGTTTAAGCGGGTCCATTGTGCTTTAGTAGATAGGTTATATCCTTTACTAGTTGGAATCTTATAAAAGTAATGACACATTTTGGTGGATTTGAATTTCAAAAATATGCTGCCAGGTAGGAAAGGGAGAAATTTCATATAGGTTTTCTGACATTTCATGAATAGACAATTTTCTTTTTGAGCAGTGATAAGAAGAAACATTCAGTAGAGATGCTTTCAGATTCCTCATCTTTCAAAAGCAATTCTATAAACTGTGCTGCAAAAGTTCTTTTATATAGACACTGTAAATGCAAAATTTGGAGCAGTTAACCTTTTTTTAATGATACACCAAGGGAAAAAAGTCACTATGTGTTAGAAACCTCTTTTTTACCCCCCTGTATGCATCTTCTTTTTGGTGTTAGAAAGGCTAAGAACTTTTGTAATGATTATTCCATTACTAAAACTTTTAATTAAATTAGTTGAAGAGGAAGGAAATATAGAGAAACCTGTATATTATTATCAGCTTTTGTAGTTCTTTTGCATGACTTGTACATATTACCCTCCTCATTTACATCTTTTAAGTCCATAATAATGTATTTGTTTTCAGAATCACAGCTCTTTATTCAAAATGCAGTTTTTCTGGACCAAAATATTCTCCTTGTATGTTCTGTGGTATGGCATATTACTGTTGCATCGATGCATTTATTTACAAGAAATGTACTACACAAGGGTGTCAGAAAATAGCTTTGCAATAAAGGAAGCTCTGTGGTGAAAACAAAGGGGCAGTAGTGGATAAATTGTGCAAAGGCTGCTTGCTTCGAAATCAAGTTTAATTTAAAAGAGCTTTCAATCACTAGTTAATATAACTGCTTTAAATTTACAGACAGTGGGAGTAGCTCACCGTTACCCAAGTATGCTTCATCTCCCAAACCAAACAACAGCTACATGTTCAAACGGGAGCCCCCAGAGGGATGTGAGCGAGTGAAGGTCTTTGAGGAAATGGCGTAAGTAATGTCTTTTCTATCAGCTGGGATCTGCAAAGCTGTAAAGCTTTTTACTGAGACCAGTTGATTACAGATGAATCAACTACTCTCTCCCGCCAGCTGATGATGTGTTTCAGAAGCAATTATGAAAAGAAAATCAAACAGGCAAAGAGAGTTTTTTGAAGGATCACAGGAGGCTGTTTACTGGAGGTTGTATAAACCAACACAAAGAAACTTGGAAGTTCATCCTTACTACTTAAAAGATTTATTTTAATCAGAGAGCATTTTCCTTTTAAAAACTAGTGGATGGCTAACAGAAAGACACTCAGCAGCATATTTAACCATGTATGGCTAGACTAATGACCATGATTCTGCAAGTCACAGGGAAGAATCTCCTTCCCTGCAACATGTCTAGCATGCATAGTCATTGAGTTTCACCTTATTCACAGAATATTTTTTTGAAAATTTTAATTTGTGTAATTAGAAATGAAAGGAGAATGAGGTTCATGCTGTAAATACTTGGCAAAATAGCTCAGAACAAGACTGTGGAGCTAAAATGGAATCATCTCTTGGTGCCAGTGCATGGGCCTGTGGTCGCTCCCGTACACTTGAATCTCAAAGGGGACAGACATTGATCTTGCAGGAGTTGGTGGCTTAGTCCCCTGCAGTGGGAGGAGAGGAAGGACACCTTTGTTAGTAGATAATGTTCATAGAAGTATGTATGTAGAGATACAGAAAATAATGGAAATAATATGTGCCTATCTCAGTAACATTTTTCCTAACAGAAAAAGTCATTCTTCTGATACTCACTTTCCTGAATGATCAAAAGCAAAACCACTGATTGCTAAACAAAATTTGCCCAGTTCTTTCAAAAACCCTCTTGGGTTAGATACTCCATCGATCGGTGCTGTGTCCATCGATAGTCTGTCAGCTGACTTGTGCTATGGAAGATGTTTACTTCTTTGTGTACACTTACCTCATTCCCTGCCATTCACATTTTAGCTGTGTTAAGGTACTCTCAATGAATTCAGGAAATGTTTCACGTTTCATTGATTATAAATCAATTTTGTTTTATGGTTTTAGGTCTCGCCAGCCTATCTCAGCCCCTCTCTTTTCATGTCCTGACAAAAACAAGGTTAATTTCATCCCAACTGGATCAGCTTTCTGTCCTGTAAAACTTCTAGGTCCTCTCTTACCCGCCTCTGACCTGATGCTCAAGAACTCGCCTAACCCAGGACAGAGCTCAACTCTGGCCACCCTTAACGTTGAGCAGCTCTCGTCCCGGGTTTCCTTTACGTCTCTCTCCGATGACACCAGCACAGTGGCAGCATCAGATGCCTCTGTCCAGCAGCCAACCCCACAGCAGCAGCTCCTGCAAGAATTACAGGGCGAAGAACACATCTCTGCTCAGAGCTATGTGATCATCTAAACCACCTGGGGGAGCTGGCCTCGACCCTGCGTTCAGTGGATTAGGAGCTAGGTCTCAGACATCTCTCTGCATGGAGTGACAGATTTTCTGACCACCACCACCACCACTCACAAAATACTTACTAGCATCGTAAAGTAACTTTGAACATGGATCTTGGCAGGGACGGACCTCCTATTCAGTTTTTTGGCTTTCTTGGGGTTTTTTTGTGTGTGTGTGAAAAGCAGTAATGCTTACAAAATGTGCGTCATTCAGCATTTTAAATGGAGACTATGCATTTCATAGTATGTCGGACAGATTAGTACTATGTCCCATGTTTTATTCCAAATTCTTCAGTATAAATAAGCTCTATTCAAAATGTTGCCTGTCGAAATAGATGATGTCTTGCTGTGTTTTGTCCTATGGAAAATACTGTACTTCAGGATTATGTTTACAATTGATCCAGGTGTTTGTTTCTAACTTCTGTACTACATACAATGCAAAAAAAAAAAAACCCACACATATGGCCACAATAGTTGCACAGTGCCCACCCTATGGCCTAGCTTCAGGTACTTCAATTGAAGTCTAAACTCAGGTAACTTGGAATGTATATCATATTGGGATATTAAATATTTCACATATTAAAAAGCTAAAGAGGGAACATCACTCTTTTGTCTTTCCTTCATTTATGCATTTCCCTTTCCTCATAACATTCCACATTCTTAGAATAAGATGTGCGTTCAACCCTAGGAGAATGATAATCCTGGACATGTGTGAACATGAGGAGAACCAGCAAATCTGTGGTGTCTTGAGATCATTTTCATCATATGATTACAAGCAGAAAGATGATTGCAGTCACTGTTTCTATATGTATAAATGTGGCTTTTTTTTTAAAGTTCGGGTGTTGCTCAATTCATGACTGTTAATAACGTTGCAAAAAATATCCAGGACTATTATGAACAGACACATTCCACTTTTTTATGATGGAATTTACAGACAAGAATGATTGTGTTTGATTTCAGAGCAAGTGAACAGGGGATGGATGGAATTTTTGATTTTTATTGATCATCAGGGTCATGAAATGCTACTGTTTTATCTAAGTAAATGCCTATTAAAGATTAGTTTCTCTTTAGGGAATTCTTTAATTTTCAGAGTAAGAAAGGACATGTTTCAGTCATTGTTTTCTTCCAGCAGTTGAGGTACATGCATTGCATTCACTAAGAGATTATGTGAACGGTGTAAGTAAGAAGGTTATTTAGTGACATATAAAAGATTGAAGCTGTCTCAGTTAAGCCTCTCAGAATAATTTCATGAAGAGTTCTGTTAGTATTTTGGCCAACTAGATTAGAGCATAAACCCAGACAGATAGCCTTGAACTTGTAGACTCAAACTCATCGCTCTGCAAAGCATGAAGAAGAATGCTCCCAGAGAGTTCTGATGGCCCATAGAAGTCTGACTTGCAGACATTGTTTTCTGCCGCACAAATAATATCCAAAAGCAGAGGAAGCTTTGCATTTTTATACTGTTGGTCTTTGTTTACTATATCCTAGAGTTGTTTCACCTGCACCTAAAGTGTGTGGCACAGTTTTCTTAAGAAATAGAGGAATAAGGTGCCTACAGTTACAGGAACGTTTCAGTTCCCTTCAGTCATTCCTGAGTTTTTATTTTCTAAGGAGGCTAAAGATGGAAGGGGTGTTAAAGAAGAAAGCAGCACCATTTTTTTTAAAAAAAACAGTATATATGTATATGTTCGTGTGTATGTATTCTTTGTATTATTTTATGACGATCCCAATTCTTCTTTCCACCAAAGTTTGCCGTAATATTCTCTCGTGAAGGTGCATTCTGGCTCCTTTAAATTAGTCAGTGTTATATTGTAGGAGACTGTCATGGAAAAGGACTCAGTTTACTTTTGCCATTGTCACAGGGGAACCTTTTAAAACAATCTTTTCAACAGCAGACACCTTTAACCCTAATAATCTCAGGCCTTGATGAAAATACTATATTTTGTAGATTATGGTTAAAGGGAGAAAAATATTAGTTCTGTAAGATAAATATGAGCTCCATTAACTTCTGATAGCTGGTTTAGCATTATATAATGTGTTGATCTTATGCTCTGCTTTTGTCCAAATAAGATGCAATAGTATCAATATGAATTTCTGAAAGATGAACTGAATATGCTTTTTGGTGATTAAATCTAATGTATATTTATAGTGACGTGCTTTTATTTTCTCATGAGAAACTAAATATTGTGTTGTACATTTGTCCTTAGCTTATATTAAAGTTCTGAACCAAATGTATTAAAGCTTATGCTTTGCCATGTAAATTTCCCAGAAGTTGTTGAGCTCAAATGTATCCTACATCCAGCTGTAGAAATTTGTCAGAAGTTGTTTAAATTTTGTATATAGTTGTACTGTTTAATTCTAGCCACTGCACTGAACAGTATTCGAGTTACTATACAATATGGCTTTACACAAGAAAACGTGTGGCTTTTGTTTTGTATTTTTTCAGTATAGAAGTTCCTGTGTCTTATTTAAATAAAGTTATTAGTAAAACTGGACTAGTTCACGTTTTTGGAAAGACTGGGGTTGTTAGCATATTACCCGACAGAGATGAATTCAGCTCAGGGCAATGGCAGTATTCAATGCTCACTGCGTTTTGGGGGCTGTAGGGAGTACAACTGGATCAGGTTTCCACAACCTGGTTTCCTCTTGACATTAAATTTACACACTTTTCCATCACAAGGTAAGAAGCACGATGTCTAAAGTTCCAAGTCTTTGTACTGCTCCCAGCTATGAACACCTTAAATAGAGAAAACATTGTTCACATATCATACCTAAGAATTACTTGTGGAAATAATTTCTTTGAGGTAATGAAACACCTCAAAGGAAGTTGCATATTTCTTACAAAGAAAACTTTAGAAAATATTAAAATAATGTTCTCTTCTATGTTCAGATTCAGCCTGAGAAGGGAAAAAGCCTCACAGAATAAAATAGTGTTGGTGTTATGGCCAGCTATTCAGAAAAGGTCGTGATAAGCTCAATGGTAATATGAAAGCAAAAGCAAACTACTGAGAAGTAACTAGCAAGAAGGATCGTTTCCAACACCCATCTTAAAAAATGAGATTGGTGAAGTTGACCTTTAAGTTGTGCTTTGAGTTGAAAAGTAAAGTATAACTTTCATGGTGAGATTGCTTCTTGGGTATGAGAGGAAATTACCTCTTAAATGTGTTATCTCTTTAACTCATTTAAGAGGGAATTTAAACCTTTATGGTAAGTGAAGAAAACGTAGACTTCTCAGTTCAGTCTCTGCTTGACTCAATCGTCTGAGCTTAATATGAGCAGTGCTGAGAAAGCAATGTTTACAAAATGAAACCTGAAGAAACAAGGGGGTGTGGATGGAAATTAGGTCTAAAATCACATGCTTAATATGCTAGGCAAACGGAAGCACTTGAAGTGTCTGAAGGTTATATATTGTAAAAACACACCTACACACTGTAAGGCCCATTGTAGCTCTAAAGTTTCTTTATTTTTCTACATTTCTCTTGAAAAACAGCTTCTATCTTTTTACCCCACTCTTGTTACTTTTCTGTTTTTACTCACTACTGTAGTGAACTCAAGCCTCTTTGGAATGTCATTTTTGTGAATATAATTCCTTCATTCACACCGTGAAACAAAATTGATGCTATAACCTAGCTCCAAGTTCCAATAAAGGGACTGTCCTCTTAGACATCTTGTCTCAGCTCAACTCAGTGACTAAATTGAATGAAGATACTATCTGCTCAGCTGTTGTAACAAATCAGTTTTCCTCCTTTATACTCCTTTTCTTATTTCCCTGAATACCTAGACTATAATTCTTTGTCCTCGAGTTTTCTTCACCTAAATAACAGATTTACCTTTCTGTCTTATTGTCTCCCCAACAAATTTCAAGTTGCGGGGCATAATGGTGGCAAGTCAGCCATGCCACACGGATGAATTTCTTTTAAAATATCCTGCTGACAAGGAAGCAATAAGTAGGCTAGGCTTCCAATAACCTCTAAAACTAGAGACTAGGGATCAAGTAGAGACTACTCTTAAACCAAATTATCCCCATGCTTAATTTTGTCATTTACTAAAGCTACACTTGCTTATATGTTTTGCAGATGGCTATTTTGTGTTTCAGTGGTAGAGTTAAGTAGTTGCAAAGGAGTATTACCCACAATGCCTAGAGTATTTATTATCTGTTCCTTTTTTTGTAGAAACTATTTGCTGACTCTTCAGGAGACTGTAGAACAGACCAGATGTAGGTATCTTGGATCAGCCATGCTTATTTTCAAAATATGCTCCCAAGAACCGTCAGTTTTGACCTCAAAGGCACAGTTTTATCGTTTTTTGTTTTTTTAAAATTCAGGCACTGTAGATTACAAAGTTATTCATGATTGGGTTATGGGAATCCTGTGTTCTAATACCAATCTCCTCACCAGTGTCCAATTCCCTTTAACTGCACTCAGTTTCCCTCCCACTCACCAGTTTACAATTCTGTTACTGATGGAGTTTCATGCGTAATAACTTGACCACCTTTCAGTACCCTCTCTGGTTGGCCACTTTTCATATTCTTTCTTTTGCCTTTGGACATTTGTTATTCCCCTACTTTGTTTCATTATATCACAGGTATGAGAGAGATCATTCTGTGTTGAGCTCTCTCCCTCTTAACTTCACTCAGCATGATAATCTCTGGATCCATCCACATAGCAACAATTTGCATGACTTTATTTCCCCTTATAGCCAAATAATACTCTACCAAGTATCTGTACTATAGTTTCTTTGTCTTGTCATCTATTCTTGGGGTCTTGGGTTGTTTCCAGATTTGGGTTATTATGGACAGCAATTTTATCATTTCAGTAGCAGACTAGTATTGAATATTTTGAGTTATGCTAATTGAAACAAGAAGGTAGAAAACAATTATATTGTTTCACTTATATATGGAATATGGCTCAGTCAAATGAACCAACAAACCAATAAAATATTCCCTAACTCAGTGAAAATCGTGGCAGTTAACCAGAGGAAATGGGGGGGGGGGGGCTGGGGAAAAGGGTAGAGGGTATGTTGGTGGAGGGGGCGAATGTGATGAGTTTTACAAACGCATAGAAGTATAAAGCTGAATTCCTGGAATTCTGGAATACTGTAAGCCAACAATAAATCTGTAAAAACATAATTCCAAAAAATATATGCCCACAAATTCTTTAATCAGCCTCCCTTTAAGCACTGGAGTTTTGGCTTGATGTTCAAGCCCATATTCTGTCTTGAAGACATCTTGCTTGCTTGTCCCTATACTTTCTTGCTTGCTACTCCATTCTGGAATAGCCTGTGTTCTTTCTTGAACTTATTCTTCTCCCTTTCTAAAGACGTTTCAATAAAAAACTATCTTGCTTCAAAAGAAATAGAAGAGGGAGAGCTTCGTTTTTCTCCCCAGACATTCTCCCCCGACTTCCGACGTTAGGTAATAAAGTGCTTTCTTGGGCATGTGCTTTTCTTCGCTCCCTTGCTAAAGGGAACAAATACTTGTGAGGATATCAAAGCAATCTACCTCGAGACCCACACTGCAAGGAGCTGAGTCACACTTCACCAGCTAGCAAGGAAGCAAAGGAGCTGCCAGCAACCATGTGAACAAGCTTGCAGGTCGGTGCTGCAGCCATGAGGCAGAATTCTAGCCAGGGCACACAGAAATCTCTTTTGGCTTCCCTGACCTTCAAAAACTGTGAGATACTGTTTAAAAGTAATAAACTTGGAGGTTATTTGTTACCAAGGGTTAGAAAACAAAGTAAGTCTCCTGCCCCCCTCACCCCCATTCTCCACTCACACACATACCCACAAATGCCACCAACCTCACCTAGAATCTTGCCACAGGGTACCATCCTCCTGATTCAAAAATCCTTTTTCAAGTAGACACATCTCTTGTGTTTATCCTTTAGGATTTGGTTCAAGGCAAAGATTTCTCTCTCTCTCTCTCTCTCTCTCTCTCTCTCTCTCTCTCTCTCTCTCTCTCTCTCTCTCCCCACACACACACACACACACACACACACACACACAAAGGGGGGTGAGGCAAGTGGTTGGGACCACACCCAGCTGTGCTCAGAATTTACTTGTACTCTGTGCTCTGGGATTACACCTGGCAGGGCTCAGGGGGCCACATAGGGTACTGAGATCAAAGACAGCAAGTGCCTTATGCTTCTAACTATTGCCTGACAATCACGACCATCCTGTTATTCGTTGATTGCCTCGAGCAGGCCCCAGTAACATCTCCTTTGTCCTAGCCCTGAGATTTTTTAAAAAGTGCCATATTCAAGGCTCTTTTCAGGGTTAGGAGAATGAGACCCATCATTGTTACTGGTATTTGGCATATTGGGTACGCCACGGGGAGTTTGCCAGACTCTGCCGTGTGGGCAGGTTACATTCAGTAGCCTGCCAGTTTGTCCAAAGTAGGAATGAGATAATAAGATGTCATAATAAGATGTCGTGGCCGCGCGGTTCTGGGAGCTGGGTTTTATAGTCTCTGAGTCTTGGCAGTTGATGGGATTACACAGCGCCAGGGGGTCAGTTGGTGGGTGTGACCCCCGCCTACTGGAATTTGGAGGATCTGGGTGGAAGATGCTCAGCCCCGATCCGAGTAGGCTTGGAGATCTCAGCCCCGGGCCCGCATGTCTTTGTTCCTCTGCCGGTACCTTCATGTGTGCGGAGAGTGATCTCAGCATGGTGGTGGCTGGTTCTGGAAGTCTTTGACTGCTGGAGCCCTGGTCAGGGCGGGGAGGAAAACTCCCCTCCAAGGGGCCCCGGCGAGGACAGCCAGATGCGGGGGCAGGAGACTCTGCCTAACTATTGCCTAACCACAGAAAATTTTATTTGAACACTTCACCATGTGCCGAGAAGTTAAACTGTAATATTAACCTACCTTACCTAAGATAGTCCAGTGATCCAATTGTAGGTGGGGGTGGGGACAGTGAGGATTTAATCCTTGCAGAAAAGCATTCCCTTCGGAAAATGATGCAAGGGATGAAATGAGTGATCTACTTTTATTAAAAGAAATTATTATTTTTTTCATTGGGTGACCTACTTTTAAAGATGTCAAAGCAGAGCAGAATCTCAAAATGAAGAGTGTTTTCCCCCTCAAATGTCTGCTTTTTCTTTTTAATTAACAGAAGGCTGGTGACTGAATTCTTAAGTTGCCTATTCCATTCAATTGTCATTCGCATCTCAAAGACAAGGAAAAATCATTTTTTCTGAAGGTTCCAGATCAGTTCAGTGATGGGCCCTTTCATTCAAAAAGCCATTTTCTTAACCCCAGGAATTTGAACAATTAGATCGTGTTTCCTCCAAAAGATGTTTTTGATAACAAGGAATGGGTCCCCTTACACACTACAAATTCTACTCAAGTCTTGGCATCCGCTTTAAGCATGACTTTAATGACATTCCTTTAGCCAGAGTTGGGTATGGGCCTGCGGGCAATGGATGTTATTTCAAACCACTGTCTGGAAGCAGGCGGGATAAAAGGTGGAAGTAAGGACCTGCCAAGAGGGAGAAGGGT